AATATATAATATATATTAGATATTATAATGTTATTATGCATATATTATATACACAGTGAGTAAAAAAAAAAATATTTGCACAAATTCATCACTTTCTGAAGTAATTCCTCACAAAGAGAAAAATATCATGACGTGTTGTTAACGTATATTAAAAGAAAGCAATATTTTCTCTTCCTTTTCCGTGTTTATTTAATTCTCTCTGAGAGAGAGAAAGATAAATATGGAAATATTCTTTTTTTACAGACTGCAATTTACAAAAATCACTGCGACTCGTCACGACCGGACGGCTTCCCTCATTAAATCAATCGGTCCTCATGTAAAAACATATTTGCTATGTCTACGAGTTATAAACGTCAGCTAGTCGACCCTGAACGAATTCTTTCTCGCTCCGAGACGAACATCCGATAGTTTATTTTTATTTGACTGGCTATTGTCACATAGTGTAAGGATTTATGCTAATTGATGTCGTAACACGAACGATGTAGCGATATTAATTCAGTGTTCCGTCCATATCAAAAAGTTTCCAGAAATCCATGCGTTAAATCCGTTCATCGCATTCCATATCGCGTACGTAATAATGAATCTTCTCGCTTTCAGAGGGTATATTATCTATCTCTGGAATATTATATGGGAAGATCACTGCAAAATACGATGATTAATCTGGGAATACAAGGAGCATGCGACGAGGCGATGTATCAGGTAAGCTATACTTTACGTTGTATTTTAATCCAGATTGAAATGAAAGTTTTACGATTTTTATTATATCTTCTTTTAAAAAAGATCGTTCCATTTTCCAAAATCATCGTGATAATAATAGCTATTCTTGAATCATTTTTATCTTGTATCTTTATTTAGCAATATCTGTTCCATTTTCTATAATTATTTTGATAACAATAGCTATTTTTTTTACAGATGGGGTTGGACATCGAGGAATTAGAGGAGATGGAGGAAGATGCTGGACTCGGTAACGGAGGTCTAGGTCGTCTAGCCGCCTGCTTCTTGGACAGCATGGCCACGTTGGGATTGGCCGCTTACGGCTACGGAATACGTTACGAATACGGTATATTTGCGCAGAAAATCAAGCACGGCGAACAAGTAGAAGAACCGGATGACTGGTTGAGATACGGCAACCCGTGGGAAAAAGCTCGACCAGAATATATGTTGCCTGTTAATTTTTACGGGAACGTGATTGATACTCCTGAGGGAAAGAAATGGGTGAATACGCAGGTATGAAGTTATTTTATTAGTTTTTGTTGGTTCCTGGTTATACCATCAATAATGTGTCACTACGCATATATGTTGAGGTGAACATCAAATATACCTTTGCATAAAAAATATCCTATGCCTTTTGCGATATTCGCAATAATAATCGAGATATTAATTAAAGAAGATTGATGAATAATCACGATATGATAAATGAGCTGTAGTGACGATGTGTGTTGTAAACTTGTACATTAGGTCAAATTGAACAAAAAAGCTCTTTATCATTTTGCAAATAACTACGTAGGTTTTTAGTTATTAATAAAAGAAAGTTGTTACATGATTATGTGCGATGATGCACAAATCTTCTTTAATTAATATCTATAAATCTATATGGTCATTTGCAAAATGGTAGAGGACTTTTTTGTTTATTTTTTGATCTAATAATAGTATATAATGTATAATGTAAATATATAAGTATATAATGGCAGACGGCGCTACTACAGCTCGCGCGTGATCACTCTTTAATTAATATTTTGAAATTTATTGTGAATATCGCAAAATAATATGGGACTTTTATGATCACCTCAATCCGTTCTACGTTCACAAAAATTGCGAAGGCGAATTTGGGATACTTTGTCTATATATATATATATATATATATATACTAATTGATTTATGTTGTTTTGTTATATTGTATTAATATTATTTGTGGCAGATTGTATTTGCGATGCCCTACGATAATCCAATTCCCGGCTACAAAAACAACGTTGTTAACACCTTGAGACTCTGGTCTGCAAAGTCACCAGTAGAGTTTAATTTGAAATTCTGTAAGTATCAGTTCCGACAAATAAATGTAATGTAGTAAACGGTTTTTTCCACGAAAGTATATCATCGACTTGTACGTTTTCAGTTAACGACGGTGACTATATACAGGCTGTAATCGATCGTAATCTAGCGGAGAACATCTCCAGAGTTCTTTATCCTAACGATAACTTCTTCGAAGGCAAGGAGCTCCGATTGAAGCAAGAATACTTTATGGTAGCCGCAACATTGCAGGATATTACTCGACGATATAAGTCTAGCAAGTTTGGTTCAAGGGAACATCATAGAACAGACTTCAGTGCTTTTCCCGATAAAGTGGCGATTCAACTAAATGACACGCATCCCTCTCTGGCTATTCCCGAGTTGATGAGAATTCTCGTGGACGTGGAGAAACTTCCCTGGGATGAGGTACGGTGCTGTTACTTTGCTTTGTCGCATCATTAAGATAATTGATATTCTTGAACGCCAATCTCTTAGAGAGATTTACCATGAAATCTGACATATTTTCGTATTCTACACGCGTGAGAATTCATTTTTCATATTTCAGGCTTGGGATATTACAACACGTACATGTGCTTACACAAATCACACCGTTCTTCCTGAAGCGCTGGAACGATGGCCTACTAGTATGTTGGAGTGCATCTTGCCGAGGCACTTGCAAATTATTTACCAGATAAACCATTTGCACCTTGAAAGGGTTGCGGCTAAGTATCCTGGTGACTTTGATCGCCTTCGTCGAATGTCCCTGATTGAAGAGGACGGTGAAAAAAGGGTTAACATGGCGCATCTATCGATTGTTGGTAGCCACGCTATAAACGGAGTTGCTCGTATACATTCGGAAATCCTCAAAGATAGCGTGTATGTTCTATATCAAATCGTATTTGTAATTCTACTTGAATATTTAATTATATTAACATATTATATTTTTATATGATCTTTTTCTTTCTTTCATACTTATCAAGCAAGGAGAAAGTTACAAAGTTCTGAGAAGACTGATAACAAAACTAATCTATTCTTTCCGTTTCTTTAGTTTCCGAGACTTTTACGAACTGGCACCGGAAGAATTCCAAAACAAAACGAACGGGATCACACCGAGAAGATGGCTGCTACTCTGCAATCCAAATCTATCAGATATAATTGAAGAAGTCGGTATCCAGCTGTGTATGATGTAACTTAAAATATTGTGTCGTATTTACATATTATATCATTTATATACATATATATATATATAAATTACATATTAGGATTATTATGCATAAAAGAATTGAAAATTCTAGAATTTTCAAAAAGTTTTCTGTGTAACGATTTAATACGATTTGTTTCAGAAAATTGGCAGTGAATGGACGGTCCACCTGGAGCAGTTGTCACAGCTAAAGAAATGGGCAAAGGATCCCGTATTTCAACGTAACGTTGTTAAGGTTAAACAGGAGAACAAACTACGATTAGCCCAGATATTGGAGAAAGAGTATGGCGTTGAAGTTAATCCTGCATCTATCTTCGACATTCAGGTGAGAATTAGCGGTTATTTTTTAACACAGTGATATTTATTCACGCGACACGCAAATTCAGCGACGCTTTGGTCGATATAATTAGAAAAATTAATTGTACATTGTTATGTTGGTAGGTGAAACGCATACACGAATACAAGCGACAGTTGTTGAACTGTCTGCACGTCATCACCCTGTACAATCGAATAAAAAGAGACCCGTCTGCGCCATTTGTCCCCAGAACCGTGATGATAGGCGGCAAGGCCGCGCCAGGTTATCACCTAGCGAAAAAGATCATCAAGCTTATCTGCAGCGTCGCCAAAATCGTCAACAACGACCCGATCGTCGGCGACAAGCTCAAGCTGATCTTCCTTGAGAATTACCGAGTAACCTTGGCCGAAAAGATCATTCCCGCCGCGGACTTGAGCGAACAGATTTCGACTGCTGGCACCGAGGCATCTGGCACCGGTAACATGAAGTTTATGGTCAGTAATTTTTGGCAGTGAAATGAAGCTAAGATTATGCATTCACTTATAAGTTTACCGACTTATGAGCTATTGACAGTTCACGAATTTATCCGTAAAGGTAGAAGCAAAACTGTGAATGATTTGAATTATTTTGTTATTTATTTATTATTTATTTGTTATATTTATTATATATTTTTATTCCTGATTTATTATTATTTTATTTACATCTTTTTTTATTTTACAATATAATTTTATTTAACACAGTGTGTTTAGTTATTCTTCAATTATTTAATATTTAATTATTTAATTATTCTCATTACAAATTTTGTATAATAAAATTGTACGTTACGATTATAGTTGAACGGTGCGTTGACTATCGGCACTTTGGATGGCGCGAACGTAGAAATGGCTGAGGAAATGGGCAACGAGAATATCTTTATATTTGGTATGACGGTGGATGAAGTGGAAGCTTTGAAGAAGAAAGGTTACAACGCGTACGATTACTACAACAAATTGCCAGAAGCGAAGCAGTGTATTGATCAAATCCAAGGAGGATTCTTCAGTCCGAATAATCCCGATGAATTCCGAGACATTGCGGATGTGCTGCTCAAGTGGGATAGATTCCTGCTTTTGGCCGATTTCGAGAGTTATATAAAGATGCAGGAACGCGTCAGCCAAGTCTATCAGGTACCTGATTAATTTTGAAGGTTTACTTTTTAATCTTGAAAATTTTTATTTAATAATAATAAATAAAAGTGTTCGCGTGATTTTATATGCGATACAAGACACGATATCTATCATTTAGAAAAAGAATTTTCTTAACAATTTTATTATTTAAACAATTCAGTTACTGCGATAAATTTTGTTACATAACATCTTTACAACATCTTTACAACTGCTCAATTGTTTTAGGACGAATGTAAATGGGTGGAGATGGCGATTCACAACATAGCATCGTCGGGAAAATTCTCGTCAGATCGTACAATTGCGGAGTATTCGCGCGAGATATGGGACGTAGAGCCGAGCTGGAAGAAACTTCCAGATCCGCACGAGCCTCGCGACATTTAAATACGTTGACGTAATTACTTTTTCATAATATGTTCCGATACACGTCCGTTTCCTTCCGCGACTAACTCTGTCCAGTCGTCACAGACAACAACGAACTTTAAGTCAATAACTGACGCCGTTCAGATCGGTCGCGCTAAAGTAATAGAGACTATATCGTGTGTGAGGACACGTAATCTGATTTCTTATATTCTATTATATATTCTATGGATATATATATATATTTTTTTTTTTTTTCAGGAATACGAAATTTTTAACGATGAACACTCGCGCTTGCTTAAATATGTCACATATCTTTCGAGAGATTTACTGTTAATATTCTTCCATGTTCAAATATACATACTCGTTACAATGACGCACAACTTTTCTATGACGTGTCTTCCATGTGATCATGCGGATATCTACTTGGAACAATCCTCTAGTCTTAATTGTGTTATACTTCCAAGGTAGACATTGACAAGCAGTATGAAATTTGCTCGTTTCAGAGGGATAAACGTTCTACTCGATTGTGTAGAAATATTCTGCATTTCTTTCTATCTCAAGATCGTTTAGTTTAAGTGTATCTTAATCTGAGATTCAAATTTAATAATTTGACTATTTTAATAATTACTTTCGTAAGTAACAAAATAAAGACCGTGA